TTTTTTCTTTTTTACGCTCACCATCTAGAGCGAAAATTATGACACATCAGACCCATTTTTCATCAAAAATTTAATGGATGGTTACCATGTACAGTATACTATTTAATTTATGTATGTACGTACAGTACGTACTTAATTATGCATATCATATATTTCACCAACACAGACTGGTCGGAATATTAATGTTGAATAAAAATTATTATTGAATAGGAGGTTTGTATCACTTCGTATTGTCTCACAAAAGGACTCTTAATTATTGTTCAACATTGAACGTATGCACGTATAATATTAAAATCCGGAAAATTTATTTCCCCTTATGGAAATGTTGTTTTCCATAAATATCAAAGACCGGGAGAGGAACAAATTCTTATACGTACGTACGTATGTAAAACGTAAAAATTGTGAGACAAGGACTACACCATCTTTGGACATAAAGGACAGATAACATTATAATAGACAAAGAAATGGGAATAACCTATATGCTAAAGTTATGCTACATATAAATACCCTTACCAAAAAAGTTTTTGAAAATTGTTTGTCGTTGAAAAGGTATGCAGAATCAACTAAAAACTTTATTTTCATATTTATTATATGCTTTATGAACAATAGAAAATATGTAAGCAAGTATTTTAATTGCACATTTCTATTTCAATATTAGATGACAAACCTCGAATCTAAGCCAATTGGTCCTGGTGACTACGGCTCTTGTCCAGCTTGTAATAGACAAAAAACAGATAAAAATTGGTGCTCTAAATGTCATCCAGAATTATTACTTAACGAGAACCCAGGCTGGACAAGCGGTTATAAAGATTTGGATGATTTCATTAAGCAAACTATTAGAGATGCACGTTGCTCTTATGGTTATCTCGAATGGATCCCATTCGAGAATTTTAAAGTTATTAAAGAAATTGGTAAGGGAGGATTTGCCACAGCTTATTTAGCGACGAGAACCAATTGTCTGAATGTTCATTTTACATGGGATGTCAAAAAAAAGAAATATTTCCGAGAAAATTATAAAGATTACAATATTGCTTTAAAATGCTTTCATAATAAAAAAGGCATAGCCGAAGCAATTCTTCATGAGGTCAGTTAAAATGTTATCATTATTATTTACAATATAATTAATATCATTTGTTTAGTTTTAATATTATTACTAAAATTTTATTTAATTAAATTTTATTTGTAGATAAAAACTCACCATGGGTTCATGATGCGTCAAGAAAATGGATTCCTTCATTGTTATGGTATTAGCAAGAATCCAAAGACAAATGAATTAATAATCGTACTAGATTATGCACAAGGTGGGGATTTACGAAAATTTTTAGTAAATAACCATAAAAATTTAAAATGGGAAGACAGATTACAATTCGCAATGAATATAGCGAAAGATTTAAAAATAATTCATGAAGCTGGTTTAGTCCATGGTGATTTCCATAGTGGAAATATATTACAAATATCCAAGAGTTGTATAGTCTCAGACTTTGGGTTATCACGTAAAGATGCCGATTATAACCCATTAAATGGTGAATATGGGGTTGTCCCATACGTAGCTCCTGAAGTTTTAACTGGAAAACCCTATCGTAAACCTTCAGATGTATATAGTTATGGAATAATAATGAATGAAATTGCTACAGGAAAACCTGCATTCAATAATAAACCGATTGACACAAAGTTGGTTGTTAAAATCTGTAAAGGTACTCGACCCGAATTTTCAGAGAAAACACCGAGGTGTTATGTTGAATTAATGAAAAAATGCTTAGACGGTGAACCAGAAAAAAGACCCACGGCAAAACAATTATATGAAATCGTTCTTGAATGGTATAATTGTGTCAAAAATCGAGAAGAATCTGATATTTATCAAGAATTCAAAACTGCCGATGAAAATATCACATCTGAGGATGATAATAAGGATGAAATAGAATTCATGTGCAAAGTCGCGAAAATTATATCAGTAAATTTATCTCTTTTACGCAACAAATTGACTCAAAACAAATTGACATTTTCTTCGATGATAACAATACGTCATCATTACGAATTTGAATTATTCGATTTTGTATCTCGTTTTCTTTTTATCTTAATATATCATTTTCATTATTTGTTAAACTATAAATTGATATGTGAAGAATAATTAATCTATTAATTATGTACAGGCATGTCTAAAATATTAAATGCTAAGTAAAATTTTCAATTTAAATAGCCCTATCAGGGAAATTGTAAAAAAATTTGTACGTAGGAGTAAATAAAGCATACTAGTTTTTCAAATACCCAATTCTCTTAAATAATAAAAGCGAATTAGTAAAAAGCAGCTTACGTGAGTAAGTTAGTAAAATTAGATACGTACTATAAATTCATTGTCAATTTGTCAATTGAACGTAAAATTTTTGGCTTACCAATATTGATATGCGATGCAAGTTAAGCAATTTCATATAATCCGCCTTTTGTGGAAATACCTGATTGTCGGGCTTTCGATCTTTTGATTGGTGCAATTTGTTTTTCGAAGCCCTGTTTTGGTTTTTTTTTTACAAGATTACAACATTAAAAAAAAATTTTTTAATGTTGACTTCAAAATTTATCGAAATTTGTCGAAATTTGGCATAAATCAATCGAAATTTATTAAAATTTTTGCATACTGTAAATCAATCGAAATTTATTAAAATTTTTGCATACTGTAAATCAATCGAAATTTTTGCTTCAAATCGAAAGAATTTTTACGTGTCCCTGATAGGCGTATTTGTCCTCACGACTTTATGATGTTAACAAATAAGTAAACAGATAGTCGTAAAAATGAAAACGCCATATCTCATGATTAACTAGGCCGATTTCAACGAAATCGATTTATTTTTAGGGAAACGCCAGATTCCAAAAAAGGAAAATTACATAGTAAACATATTCCCGAAATTTACTGTTTTTTCACTGGTTGCCAGACGGATCACAAATTAATTTAAATTTTTTTATTCATATATATATTTATAAAATATAAAATATATCATTTATATAAATATATAATCATATATATCTTTTAAGAAAAAAAAACCTTAATACGTATACTTAATTTGATCAACACAAAAATTCCGCAAATATAGATTATACCTTCTATTTATAGTAGTAAAATTTTTAAAGGCTATACTATTTTAAAAAAATATACTTCCTTATGTAGTTAAATTTGCCGGGTTACACAAAAACAGTTACAAATATTTCTAAAACAGGTAATTACCCAATCAGTGTTTACTATGTAATCTGTTACACCCTTAAGAGATAATACTAATACTAATACAGTAAATACTACCGCTACGGGTTATACATACGTACGTACGCAGTAAATTTAAAAACATCAATACGTATTCTATGTAGAGATGATGCATAAGCTAGTAGCACATCGAAAATAAATTTCCTAAATTATCGATCTTAATAAGCTATGAGGATGACAAATATAACTTATCTTCAATGAGTTAGTTAACCTTTATTCTATATACAGATATATGATCGAAGTTTTTAGGTTTCCTGCATCGTACGTACGCACATGTGGCGAAATTAAAAGCTATGTCACGTACGTACATATATCATAAATACCGAAATATCTTATATGACTTACAGTTCATGATCCTTTGCCAAAATTAGTACATACTTACGAAAAGTCATGGCAAATATATCAGAAAAATGGCTTGAAAAAGCTATTTCCGACAGACATATTAATTATCTCGAATATAATAAGTTTACAGATCCAACGGAAATTGGCATTGGAGGTTTTGGAAAGGTCTTCAAATGCGAGTGGCAAGATTGTGAATTAACGGTCGCACTTAAATGTCTTAAAGTCGATAACAATATCGGTTTAGATAAAAAAGTTATTAAAGATTTTATTAATGAGGTACTATTTATTACATTAAGACATTAATCATTAAATGATAAATTACATATTAAATTCATATAATTCATATATAGCTTAAACTATTACGAAGTGTTTGTAATCATCCAAACATTATTTCTTTCTATGGAGTCACGAAAGGTATACATTATTATTAATTTCTATGTATTAATTACAATCATATTAAAATCATTTACTTATTTACAATACCTAATGCAAACATTAAGATTACAATGGACATTATCACATGGTTTTACAATATGCGAACGAAGGAACTTTGCGAGAATACCTGAAAGCAGAATTTAATCATTTACAATGGGCAGATAAATTTTCCATTGCTAGAGAAATAGCTCTCGGACTTTTATTCTTACATGATAATAATATTGTTCATAGAGACTTAGTAAGTGATGTACTGCATATTTATGGAAAAATCGTAATGAAACTTACATTCGAATTTTTACTTTATTGATGCTCTAATAATTTAGCATTCGAAGAATATCCTAATTCATCAAAAACAACCAAAAATTGCAGATTTTGGATTATCAAAACAGATAAA